TTCGAAGTCGGAGTGCATCTGCCTGAGAAGCAAGGAATCAACAGACTGCACACAAACGTGTTATATTCTGTCAAACGGATGCATACGCAACACTCAAGTTCTGGAACAGGACTGCAGTCCAGAAGTGGACGAACAACCAGAACTTTTCATCAGAGTTTACATCTGGAGAACGCACAGAAGAAGAAGAAGAAGAAGAAGAAGAAGAAGAAGAAGAAGAAGAAGAAGAAGAAGAAGAAGAAGAAGAAGAAGAAGAAGAAGAAGAAGAAGAAGAAGAAGAAGAAGAAGAAGAAGAAGAAGAAGAAGAAGAAGAAGAAAACGGAAAAAGAAGAAAATTAGATGGAACGTTGCTTAACTCAGATTTCCTTGTCACTAAAAAATTATATGTCACTGTTAGGAAAGCTGACCACGTGACCACATGGAACCTGATCATACATCATGCCAAGCCGAAGGATGCCGGAGTCTATGAGTGTCAGGTGACATCAAAGATAGTTCTGGTGCGGCATGTTAAGCTCAATGTTGTAGGTGAGTACAACTGTCACAGGTGATTAGATGGGGTACTTGTATCTTGGTCTAAGGTGTATGTTTATCGTGTTTACTGATGTATTTGTTGGAGTTAGTTGTATCTTTCTGGAGCGGCTGGCCAAACGGTTAGAACGCTAGGCTCTCACGCGGGAGACCCCGGTTCGAATCCTCTGCAAAGCTAGGGATGTTTTTCTGTCAGGGACAAAATAAAATCCTTACCTGCACAGTCGTGGCGACGGCACTAGCCATGCAGCTGTAAATCCCCAGGCTCAAAGATTCCCCTGCCTACACCGCAAAAGTGGTATCACAAGGACAGTAATTGGAAGTGTTTTGGCAGTTGTATCTTTGGCTAAGTCATAAGTACCCATCCCTTTGTTAACTCCTTCTGCACGCCTGCAGGTGTATTGGGCATATAGGGCTAGACCTTTATCTTATAGACCAGTCGCGACACGGTGGGTGATGTGGTTAACATCAAGCCGGCCGCCTTTACTTCACATGACAGGACCTGGTACCCATTTGAATTTAGGTCGACCTAGGAACCGTGATAATTTTTGGAGAAATAAAACGTTCGGCTCCGTCAAGACCTGAACCCACGACCTCGCAATCCCCAGACGTGCTTCTACGCCACGGCGGCTCCCTCTTTTTACATTTGGGAGAGTTTTAATGGAAGAGGAGCTGTCTCAGAAGCTGGTTATGCTCAGGATCCACCAGAGGATGTTAAATCACACAATTCCGAGATCTCCTGTTGGTGGACTGGACTTTGTAAACTGGCAACAAAATTTCAAATTAAATATAATGATTATCCATAATGATTATCCTGAACCTTCATTACGAGATCAGGAGACAGCGGATTAACACTGTCGCCCAGCTAGATAGGTAGGTAGGTTGGTTTGGTTTTTAGTTGATTGTTAAACAGAGAGACATAAACAATGAAAGGTAGGAAGGGAGGTCTGTAGATAGATAGGTTTAAGGGTAGGTCGGTGGGAAGTTAGGCAGGCAGGTAGACAGTTGCATAGATCGAGGGGTAGGTAGACAGTTAGTTAGACACAGATAACAACAGACATAAACAATGAACGGTAGGAAGGGAGGTCGGTAGATAGATAGGTTTTAGGGTAAGTCGGTAGGAAGTTAGGCAGGCAGGTAGACAGTTGCATAGATCGATGGGTAGGTAGGCAGTTAGTTAGACACAGATAACAAACGAACGAACGAACTTTATTCTTAAAGGATTAGGAATTGAAAAACGCAGCCCCGTCTAACATTCTGCCTTTTAAGGTCTCCCTCCATTCTTACATTATTTCAATCATACATCAAGTAATAAGAAGTAGGCAGACGAGTATTTAACCAAGCCAATCTGTAGATGGCCAGGTCATTTGGTAACTGGACGGTTTAATAGTTAAGCAGGCATGTAAATAGAACGAACGAACAAACATTATTTGAAAAGGGTCATAAATTGGGCGCGCAGATCTGTTTTAAAGTCGAACCATACTTGCACTTATTTCCCCCATATCTGTTGTATTTTTGTCTACATTCATATTTTGTTAACTCTTTGAGTCTCAAGGAACGCATCATACGTTCATAGTTTCCTACCTAGAAGCCCAATAAACGCATAATGCGCTGATTTTATGACTCACTTTACTACCACTTAGGCCTGTGATGCTAAACCCCCTGGAACTCAAAGAGTTAACATTGCAAATATACATTATATGGGTGAGGTAAAATTACAATTCATGGATGGTATATTCAGTATGCGTACTCACGTGCACTCTCATACTTTCACACACCCATACCTACACATACTTACATGCACGTATACACTCACACATACACACATTCATACATATGAACACTCATTCATACAAGCAGATAGGTAGATACGTAGATAGGCAGGTAAATAGACCAGACAGGTAGATAGATATGAAGGTAGATAGACAGACAGACAGACATATACATAGAAAGATAGATAGGTAGATAGATAGACAGACAGACAGACAGATAGATAAACAGACAGACAGACAGACAGACAGACAGACAGACAGACAGACAGACAGACAGACAGACAGACAGACAGAC